ATTTTTCAAGGGGAGCTACGGATTTTTCTTCATGTAGCTAAAACTGCCATTTAATCGGATGATTCCTACCGGAACTTACACTGCCACTCTCCAGTTGCTCTGTGTGTAAATTCACTAAAAATTTGAGATCACACAAAGCAAAAGAAGGAATTGCAAAAATTGAAATACTGCTTCCACTTAAAAAAAAAATGCAAGAAATTTCAATAGATCCTTACTTCTCTTTCTTGGAATCTTGTCTTTAAAGTGCCATGTCATAAATAATATTTGCATGAATATCATGGGTTATTGCTTTTGTGTTGAAATGTCTCAGTCGAGGAGAGCTATAATCTACAGTGGCTTGGGTTTCCGATCTGCAGGCTCTCCTTTGGAGTTTTGAGCTAAAATACAGATACACCAACTATGAGAAACAAATGAAAGCTGTCACAGTGTCAGCAGCAAAAACCGGGGGTCTGTCCCACACAAATTATGGACATCTGTATTCCTAATTGGCATTCTTTCGGGCCGTGCCAGCAGAATGGCAGTGCCAAGAGAGCCTGACAGCTTTAGGAAAGACCAGGTATCAGGTTTAGGTGATAGGAGACGCTGATGAGACGTAGAAGTTCCTTTGTCGGCAATATTCTCCATATGTTTGTTATAAGGCCCGTGACTTCTAGTTTCGGCTACCTCCAAAATGACACCCTTTATCAAGACTAAATTTGCTACTTTGAAAACAGATCAGTTTATGAGCTCAGGAGAACAAGTGGTATTGATGGTTATATGATCAGAAGATCGTTGGCAAAGATGCATACAAATAGTTAACAAGGTAATGGTAAGAAATGTTGACCTTGATTTGTTTAGCTAAGATGTAAAGATTTTTGAAGGTCAAAGGTGTCCTTGTGTAGTGTTTTGGAGTCTAACTGTGTCTGACCCTCTAACATTAAGCTGCTGTGGCCTGCAGTTTTGAAGAGTGAAGCAAACCAGGGGAAAAGAGAGAAGGGGGGAGAACAGGAAATGGAGTGAGGTGTTTCAGGAAGTTGTCAGGGGTTGACTGATTGATTCCAGATGGAAAAGGTCAGCCTTCGTGACCCAGGAAATACTCACTAGGGGAAAGAAGTTGGCTTGTGGAAAGGGAAGGCCTGGGAGTGAGACGATGCTGGAATGCACATTCCACTTCCTTTAGTCCCCAAACATTCAGAAACTTTAACTTGTCTGAATAGAATAATATCAGTGTTGTCATCGTTCATCAGAAAACAGGGAAGGAAGTTAAATTCAAAGGTTTGAATGTACCAAATGTATCTTCACCTCCATAATGTAGTTCACTTACTTCCAGAAGGAGGGTGGATGTATGTAAAGGTCAATATTTGTGTGTGTGTGTGTATGTGTGCATGCACGCGTGCATGTATGAGAACAACCAGCAAACATGTCCGGTTTTGCATGGTGGAGCTAGAGGATTAAATTCTCTACATTTTGCCAATTCACTTTAATTGACAGACTCTTCTAGATAACCCACAGTCTAAGATATTTGGAATATTAAAAATGGGAACTTGCCTTGTATCTATATATATACACGCACACGCACATACATTTGGACATAATTTAAAATCTTGTAATAAATTTTGCAGACACTGAAATAATTCAGGTTAATTCCCTTGCTGTCATGAGAGGCCAGAGCTAGCCAGCAAGAGATTAAAATTTATTTCCATTGTTAATAGAAAATAATGAAGTGCATCTGAACCATCAGGGTATGTCATTCGGGAAATGTTCACTTTGGAACTGAATCTCACTCCACCCAAATGGACAATGATGAAATCAGCTGGCTCGAGAAAGCCTCATATTTTGTGGCAGGAATGCATGAGGAGCACTAAAGTACAGTATGACAAGAAGCTTGTGGAATGAATTAAAGTGGTCTCAGAGAGAATGCTCTCTATATCCACATAATCCTCAGACGGGCTGGAGCTCCCCTCACTGTGCCTAGCACAGCTCATTAGCAATTAAAGCCTGAAGCGCCCTCTTGTTTTAAGTTTTCCAGAGATGGCAGCTATGTCAATCCATTCACACACACAATTTATAAAAGTGGCCTGATTCCTCTTTTTTCTCCACTTTCTCCTATTATTTTCAGGGGGTAAGCATATGCAGAGGTGAATGCTTTCAACCTTCATGCTCATCTTTTTTTTTTCTTTTTTTAAGATTTTAGTTATTTATTTGACAGAGAGAGACACAGTGAGAGAGGGAACACACGCAGGGGGAGTGGGAGAGGGAGAAGCAGGCTTCCCGCCGAGCAGGGAGCCCTGATGTGGGGCTCGATCCCAGGACCCTGGGATCATGACCTGAGTTGAAGGCAGACACTTAATGACTGAGCCACCCAGGCGCCCCCTTCATGCTCATCTTAACCCCATACCAGGAGCCTTGGCTTCTCTCTTCTTTTGACTATGATGCCATCTTGTGCTTGCCCTGATAAGGACTTGTGCCTCCATGCACTTGTGGAGAGCGATGGATGTCTACATCTTACGGTGGCCACCATACAATAGGAAATTTCTGGAAGGATTTTCCCCAGACTCCTAACATGTTGACATGGGACAATTGAAAACAGATCCGGAGCTAGACAGGCTGCATCCTTGAATTATGAGCTATTGACAATCATTTTCTGAACGACAACTGAGGTTCCTTTAAGTTCCTTTTGATGTCACAGAGAGGCGGGGACACTGTACCTGTAGTGTATTCACAAGTGAGGGACTGAAGTGTGGGAGAGACACATAGCTGACTAGGAACCCATTCTGTTGTCTTTGAATCTCCAGGGCCTGATTTAATACCCAACATGTAGCAGGAGCTCAGTGAATGTTTTTGGGATGAATGATTGAAACCCACTTATGTCCATGGAAAATTCCTGTGTGGTACTGTCATGCCCATGGGACCAGATTAGGTGAAATATTTTGGGGACTCATGCTTTTAGGGGTTATCCTGAACCCCTATTATATTAAAATATATGTATTTAAGAAAAATTAAAAGCTACCATCTAAACCTACATTGAAGGTAAAAAACAATTCAGAATGGTTTCCTTGGGGTGGGGGTTAGGTAGGAGGGGAGGATTGACGGAGAAAGATACAAGGTAATTTTCTGGGGAGATGGAAATGTTCTATACCCCGATATGGTCTGTGTTACCTGGATGTGTCTGTCAAAACTGTGCAGCTAAGATTTGTGCATTTCAATGGATATAAACTTCACCTAAAAAAAAGGAAGGATTTATCATACTATCTTGTTCACTTTGTTTGCTTGAAATTATTCATAGTAGAAAATTTTAAATGCCATCTAGTGAATCTTACTTCACATTAGAGATAAGGCAGGGCCAAGGTCCCCTGCTCCCTTCATTTAATAAGGAAGGAAGGGTGGCAGAAAAAATATAAGTAGAGTATCAGCAAATTCAACAGTCTTGCACAATTCACAGCACTCACCATAGCACATACCCTCCCCAACGAGGGCACGTTCTGCGTGGAGCACTGGGTGTTATGCACAAACAATGAATCATGGAATGCTACATCAAAAACTAATGATGTAATGTATGGTGATTAACATAACAATAAAAAAAATTTAAAGAAAAAAAGAATATCAGCAATTTTAATTTGGGAGTAGATAGAAGAGTCATTTTTAAATACAGCTCCTCATTACGTACCTATCAATGCCTTTCCTCCAGAGGTCTATATATATGCACGAATATGTATATAACAAGTTATTTTCTCAAAAAAAAATTGCATACATAACTGACAAATAGACTCACGTCTAGGATGGCCCATCCTCCTAGGTCAAGTACGTGGTAGGTGCACTCAAGTCCACCTACCTCTGCTACGCTTTCCCAACTGCTCTGGCCTTCACTGACCTCTGCCTCTTGGAACTACAGCACACACATCGAACTCAACTTGATTTCATTTTGTGTGCTCTTTCTTTTATGTGTCAGCCATGCTTCTCCAGCCCTTAAGAGAGCTCTTTGAGGGTAGGGGCCCAACTTTGTAACTTTTGGTAGCCAGCCCGTGTGTCTGCCTTTCTAGAGCCTCCCTTAGAGCTTACACTACGGGAGGGGCTCAGTGAGTAATGTCATCCATCCTAGTGACAGGCCAAACAAGGCAGAGGTGAGGCAGTTAGGGTGGAACTCATCCCCCTGTCGCATGCGCCAGGCCCTCCACCTAGAGCTTTACATGTAACACCTCGTTTCATCCTTACTTTATTTATTGAGCCCTTGAGATAGGCATTGTTGTTTGTGTTTTACAGATGAGCAAAATGGAGATTAGAAAAGGTGAGGTAATTTGTCCCAGGTTACCAGGTTGCGGAACAGCAGGTGTGGGGGTCTTAGTTCTCTTTGAGCCCCAATCCATGATCTTCCACTGTTCCACACCCATCTCTTCCCTTTCCTCTGCCTAGATACTAAATGTCCTACATTTTCAACACTGAATTCCAGCAACTTCATCTCCTTGCCAGAAATCGGATCATGTCTGCCACGGCTCTCTAGCGGGTGGGGACACCCCACAAACAGCCCCTCAGGCAGCATTTTTGTGCCCAGCATTCCTTGAGCGGACGTTAGAAGTGTGAGAACCCATTCCTGAGCTGGGAGAGATGACTTCCCAGCTGGTGTTGAGGCCTTACCTTCCTGAGCGCACACAGTTGGCTCCTTGGCATGAGCATAGCTCTGGGGTCAGCTGGGAATGACTGTCCAGGTCCTGTGGGAGAGAGCGAGGTTTTTAGAACCAGCAGGCAGATGGCCAGTTTCCCCACTCTGTCACTGGGGCGTTGTTTGAACACAAATACATAACAACATGCGAGTGAAGGGTGGCCTCTTTTTCCAGGAAGCTCTGCCATAATCACAGGAGGATGACCTGCTGAGAGGCCGAGGGCATGGCCCTGGCCCAAGATTCTGTTCTGTCTCTCATTAGCCATAGGGATGTCTGGCAAAACAATAGGCTGTGACTTTTCCTACTTTATGTACAACTAACTCCCCCCTCAACCCCCCCCCCACTTTTGCTTTAAATGTGCAGGTTGTGTTGTCAACAACAGTGAACGTGGATGGACACGTGCTGGCTGTTTCTGACAACATGTTTGTTCATAACAACTCTAAGCATGGCCGGAGAGCAAGAAGGCTGGACCCATCAGAAGGTAGGGTTGCCTGCCATCTGGGCTAAGAACGGCAGACAAATCAAGGTCCCCGCCATTGTCCTGGTTTGAATTTTAAATTTATGTCTGGGCAGGCGTGGAGAAAGTACACAAGATCATGTGGGTTTTAAGTGAAGTTGTAAACACTGACTCTTGCCTGTTCTCTTGCAACCCCGCACGCCTCCCAGTCGGCACTCAGGCCCCCGTGCCCCACCGCCTCTGCCATCTAGTCCTGTGTTTTTCTTTTTGCTAGACGGGCATTTGAGGCAAACGTAAGCCTATGACATCTTAAACAGGAACATTACAGTGCAGACATGTATGAATAAGTGTCAGATGTGCCCTTAAACAGATTGTGGGCAAAACAAAACAATGTGCAGAATGAAATTGACACTAATTGATTTTTGTTTGCTTGGACAAGAAGAAATCACGATCTGCTCTGGGTAGTTTTCCATGTGCATTAAAGTCGTCAGAAATACTGGTAACTGTTCAACTTCAAGTTGTCCAAAAAATTAAAGCATATCAAGGAAGATAACTGACAAATACCTGAGCAAATTCCATCTTTCACACTCCCCAGCTCACTGGGATAGTAAGGCGCTTTGTAATATAAGGTGAATGGCTAACCTAAGCTACTATTTTAGTGTGATGTTTTGCTGTATACTGCCCACCAGCCCCCACCCCAGCTTGGCCCTTAAAATGTGTCTTGTATCAATTTAAATAGGAATTAATGAACTGAAAGAAAATGAATGAATCAGTAAAGAATTTGGAGTGGTGTTAATTCTCCCACAGTGGGCACTGAAAGGGGAGAAGAAAATCCCAGGGTTCAGAACTAGGAACCCATCCAGTTTCTTTTGACTGATTGGATGTGATTGACTGGCTGTTCAAAGGGGGCTCATGTTTTTGGAGTCCTGCCAAAGTTCTCCTCCACCTTTGACCCTGTCAACTTTGGAAATGGAGTGATGGATTGACTTTAGTTATGGCCTGAAAACCATATTGGGTTCCTGTTGGGATGTAAAGTCCAGAGGCCTTGGACATATGGAAGAAGGCGGGGGGGGCGAATCCGTCCTACAAAGTTAGGAAAGTGATTAGAAATTGTCTCCTGATAGAGCTGAAAAAAAAACCCAACTATGATAGATTTTACTTTCTCCTTCTCTCTCTAGCACATTAGTAGGCCTTGTAAATCTTAACATCTTGGGGCAGAGGAGGTGGGGAGAGAAAAGGGATTTACACATTTCCAGTGTGATCAACTTATAAAAATATGGGGAAAAACAACAGGGTTTTAAAACCACCCTTTGCACAATTAGCTAAGTGTTCCATGTTTTCATACATAGTGGTCAACTCATTAGGCTTTAATGACCTGGTGAAAACCAGCAACCAATTAGGGAATGATGGCAAGTCAGCAAAGCTCAACTTGAACCTGGAATAACCAACAGCTTTTGAGAGCAGCCAATTCCCCAAACTCCAAATTTCAACCATCAAAGGATAGCCCTGACATTTTCTTTTCTATCTTCTTAGCTACCCCCTGCATCAAAGCCATTAGCCCAAGCGAAGGCTGGACCACAGGAGGAGCCATGGTCATCATCATTGGAGACAACTTCTTTGATGGCCTCCAAGTGGTGTTTGGGACCATGCTTGTATGGAGTGAGGTAGGCAAAGGCAACTTGCTTCCCTGATTTTCTTTGGTGCAAAGATAGTTTTGATTTGGGGAAATGTAATTCCTGGAGCATCAGCAGCATGGATGCACATTACTGATTACCTACTGTGAGCAAGGCACCAAGAATTTAAAAACATGTAAACCACAATTTATTGTAGGCATGGATCCCTTAAAAAGATAAATATTTATCGCAACATTGTTTATAATTGTGAAAATTAGAAAGAGCCTAAATATTGAATAATAGCAGAATGGTTCGATTCCACTATTAAAAATTTGGTTTTGAAAAAGTTCTAATGACACAGGAGAAGGGATTGTATTTACACTATAATGTCAAGTGAAAAAAAAAATCAGGATAATGGTGTCTATGGATATAAAATCTAATAATATAACAGCCATCCATAGAAAAGTTCTGGAAGCACACCAAAGATTAACAGTGGCTGTCTCTGGGTTACACAAGGCTAATAGTTTTCTTCACATTTTTTTAATAATTTCCTAATTTTCTAAAGTGGATATGTTCTACTTTCATAATGAGAAAACCAACAAGACGTTACAAAAAGACAAGTGACGGTGTTAGGTTGGATGTGGAAATTGCCAAGTCATGACATGAGAGAGTAGCAGTGTAGGAAGCAGGGAGGGAGTGAATACAAAGATGGGCCCCGGAGGTAGGGGGAGTCTTGAGCTGGGCTGGTGGGAAGGTGAGGATCTAGACAGGTTAAGTTGTGAGGAAATTCCAGGTTGGGAGGGAGAAACATGTGAGATAGAGGGACAGGGTGTTTGGAGAGTTTGGGGCCCTGGTGGGTCGTCGCAGGAGATGCTCCGGTCCTCTGTAGCCTCAGTGATAACTTGTATAACAGGTATTTTATTTCTCTGCCTGTTCATTCCTCAGCTAATAACGCCTCACGCCATCAGAGTGCAGACTCCTCCTCGGCACATCCCCGGAGTAGTGGAAGTGACATTATCTTATAAGTCCAAACAGTTCTGCAAGGGAGCTCCAGGGAGGTTCATTTACACAGGTGGGTGAGAAAATGATCCAAGGGAGATGGGCTCCTGGTTCACCTTTGTTCTAGTTCCCAGTGTCTCCACTTTATAATGATTTTACCTTTCCTAGGCCTTTTTACTAGTGTGGGAAGAATGGACTGGGTGATAGGCATTGGATGGGGAAGTGTGGACTCGATTTTAAATTTTATTTTATGCAAGAGATTTCTGAACAGTCTGGGAGATGATCACAGGAGCTCATTTCATGTGTGCCATCTTTATAAATTTGACTCGGCTAGAACCGTGCTAGAACAGACTTTTAACTAAGCAATCAGATAAAAAATTAGGCCAAGTGGTTGGCTATAGCTAAATTTTCTTGAACAGGATTTGTAAAAATTGCCCAACGGTGCTGCAGAGTGATTCAAATTGTTTTAAAATTTTATGAAAGTAGGAATTATCTATGATTTCAATGCTTGTTGAAATTTGCTGAATATTTGTTTAAAAACATTTGTTTAAAATTGGTTGAATATCTACTTTTTCTAAGGTACAATGACATATGAGACATGGTCCCTATTTGGAAATGTAGACATTTTTGGAGGGGGCGATGGTATATTGCACAGAACAGCTGGGGAATTAGAATATTCAAAATGTTTGGTGTTTCCAGTGAATGGAATATGAATTCCAGGAAGACACAGTTTAGTGTGGACTAGTGTAGAGGGAAGGGGTTTCAAGAAGAAGATGGAAATCAAAGACTATTTTTAAGGGTGGGGAGGATTTGAATAGGCAGGGAAGAAGGAAGAATGTCCCAACTATGGGAATTTCATGTGCTAGGGCCCAGTGGGTAAGGTGAGCAGGTGTCTGGAGGAGAGACGGCTGGTTTACAGCTGTGGCAATGCACTCGGGTAAAACTTAGGCCAGAACTTAGCCCACATGAGCTAGGAATGGGAAGGAAGGAAAACATAAAACAGCTTAAAAGCCCTGTAGGGTACCTAGAATGATCAAATTCAGAGACAGAACATCAAATGGTGGTTCTCAGGTGTTGGGGGAGGGAGAATGGGAGTGATGTTTAATGGGAACAGAGTTTCAGTTTGGTGAGATGAGAGTTCTAGAGATCGGTTGCTACACTTAGAAATGACTTTGGATGGTAAATTTTGTCATGTGTGTTTTACCACAATTTTAAAAAATGAAAAAAAAAACTCACAAAGCCTTGTATGGGAACTTAGACTTGATTTGTAAAACGACATTAAGCGTTCCCATGGAAGTGAGAGTAACTCAGAGGGGTTCTCGTAAGAAACACAAATGCTATTGATATAAAAGGCAGGAGGATCAACTAGGACATTGTACTTTGAAGGAGAAAATAAGGGGCATAGAGAAAGAAATATATAAACTTAGAAAATATATCACGCACATTATGAAATTCTAATATTTTATAGTGTCTTCTCTCATTTGGATCCAGACTCCCCTTCTTGTTTATGTGTAAATATCTGGTTACATATCACTGAGGAGTAGATGGACAAGGGTAATTTTTAGGTATATTTATCTAAAATTTCACCTTTGAATTTTCTCTCTCGAGATAGGTACATCTTGGTTGGTTGGGTTAGTGTGTGTGTGTGTGTGTGTGTGTGTGTGTTTCTATGGAAGATGCTATTGCAGTCACAGTAAAATATTTACTGCTTTAGCTCCCAAAGGCACACAGTATATTCATTCATTTAAATGAGTATTTATGACATGCCTAGTACCATGGGCTGGCACAACTGTAGGTTTTGGGATATAGAAATGGGCAAGTTAAAATCCCTCATCTTAATAAAACTTACTTTCTAGAGGGGAAGACAGACAACACAGAAAATAGATGATATAATTTCAACAGTAATAAGTAAGGGATAGAGAATGAGGCAGGGTTTTGGGTGGGGTGGTCAGGGAGGGACTCTGTGAGGAAGGGACGTTGAGTGGAGACCCGTACCACAGGTGTGGAAATCTGCCCCCAGCCTCTGTAGCTTTCTGACCTTCTCTCCTCTCCATTCACATTGTCTTCCTTCTGTGCCTGGAACTCTTCAGGGTTGTGTTTCTGTTTGGTTCCCCAGTGTTCTCTAGAACAGTGTCTGGCTGTCTGTGAACTAGGGGTAAATGTCCCAGGCAGAGAACAGATTGTAGACTGAGAGGTGGGAATAAGCCCAGTATCATCGGGGAAGAGCACGAATACCTCTGGCCAGAGGGGCGCTGGTGGGGAGGAGAACGATGGGAGATGAGGTAGGAAAAGCAGGTAGGGTAAGAGGTTTGGATGGGAAGGCACTGAGGATGTTGAACAGGGGAGCAGTCAGCATCCAGACAGGATTTAAAGCCACAGGGCTGGATGAGATGGCCTCAGAAGAGAGGGCAGCTGCAGGATGGAAGAAGTCTCAAGATGGTGCCTCAGGAGCCCCAGCATGTAAGGCTCAGGGTGAAAAGAGGAGTCACCTATGAAGGTGACGGAGAAGGAGTGTCTGATGGTGTAGGGGGAAAGCAGCAGTGTGGGCTGTCCCCGAAGTTAGGCTAGGAATGGGTCTCACTTTGGGATGCTTTCCACATGTAGGGCTCTGGCATCTCTGTTTTCTCTACCCACTGTATATGGATGACCATCTGGCCTGTGAGGAGACAGGTAGGAAAAATAGCAATCATGTTGCAACCAATCCTCAGCTCTCTTCTGAAGTAAGGATACTCAGTGAGGCTGTGGACGTGTGGAGCCTGGTGTTGTGTGCATGCACGTGTGTGTATGCAGGTGAAAACTCTCTCTGAAGCAGAGGTCCTCACCCTTGGCTGCACTTTAAATCACCAACACCTGGGCCCCAGACAAAGTAGCTCTGAATCTTGGAGGGCAGGACCCAGGTATCAGTGTACTTGATATGTTCAGTGAACAAACATCAGTTCTAAATTATGCTCAAGACACAAAATCAGTAATTTCAGTATGCCTCTAGCAGCTTACAGTTCTAGAAGGGGAGATAGCTATCTGGAGATTATGATAATTGGGTTAAGTCCCATAAGAGGTATAAATGCAAGGGGCACTGAGCAGGGAGTGGCTGACTTTAGGGAATCTGTGAAGGCTTTCCAGAGGAGGTGACAATAGAGTGACATTTCTAAAGCAAAGTGGGAATTTACCGGACAGAATAGAGGAGGCCATGAGCCACAGTTTGTGGAAACAAAGTGTCTGCTGAAAGGGGAGCCCACATAACCATGAAAATAGTAGATATTATGCTACTTGTAAATTCAAAGAATTATAGAAATGGTGAGACATTGCAGATCACTGGTCAAACTCCCTCTTTTGCAGATGGGAGAACTAAGCCCCAGGCAGAAGCAACTTTTTCACAATTACCCATTGAATTCAAGGTGGAGTCAGAGCAAGGACTCAGGTCTTTGGCCATCCTGCCTAGTGTCTTTTATTTCACACTTACTGTCAGCAAATAGCTCTGTTTTCCTGATGTGCTGAAATTTTATTGACTTATTCATGAAGCAAATATTGATTGAGCATACTCACTATGCTCAACACTGTGCTGTGTGCTGGGAATACTGTAGCTGAGTCAGACCAGCAGGATCCTTCCTTCATTATGGTATAGTGATGTGAAGATGAACTACTTATGCTCTAGATTTGGGCTTTTTGGATGTCTCTAGTTCTTAAATCTTGTGTAAGTGACTTAACTTCTGAGTCTCCCCATCTATAAAATGGGATACTTATCTCACAGAGCTGTTGTGAGACTAAATAATACTGTGCATGCAAACAGTGGTGTTTGGCTCTCCAGGGAAAAGTGGTGGGGAGAGAGCGGTAGGGTTGGTAGTATTTGCTGATTTCCATGGTGCAAATACTCTGACTATGGCTGATTTTAAGCTACCAGTATGACATCAGCTGGCTCACAAATTTCTGAAATTTTAACAACCTGCTGTCACGAACTGGGGTAAGAAAGGACATGGGATATATATGATGGCTACTATGAACAGGGCAGAAAGAATGAGTTAAAGAACGGTTGGCCTCAAGCTGGAAGGGAGGGTTCAGACCTGCTTCTTTGGCTCTACCCCAAGAGCCATGGGGAGCTATTGGAATATTTTAAAGCTGGGGAGTGCCATGATCAGATTTGCCTTTTAAAAGATCATTCTGGCTGAATTGTAGAGAACGGCTTGGAAGCCAGGGTGGATTCAAGGAGGTCAGTCGGAGGGCAGTGTGGTGGCCTCAGCCAGAAATGATGGCAGCCTGGACCAGAGCACCAGTAGTGGGGACAGGCAGAAGGGGATGGAATCTAGGAGGTCACATGGGCAGCCCTTGATGATTGATTGGATGGGGTGAAGGTTGGGGAAGGGAGGGGAGGAGATGCCTCTCAGGTTTCAGGTTTGAAAAATTGGGTGGGTATAGTGTAGAAAGTGATTTTTAAAAAGGTATAAATTGCTAAGGGAGTTCAGAGGAAGGACAAAATTCTTCCAGCTGGTGGAGTGGTGGGAAGATTTAATATTGTAAAGATGTCAATTAATGCATAAATTTAACATAATGCCAATCAAAGTACCAACAAAATGTTTGGGGAAATTTTACAAGAGTTCACCTGGAAAAATAAAGGTGCTAAAATAGGACCCCTCATTTTGAAAAATGAGAGGGCCATGCCCTACCAGACTTAAAACCTATTTTGAGTAATTAGAAGAATATGGGGCTTTGGAGGAACATATAGAAGTGTTATGCAACAGAAGAGAACATTTAAAAATAAACAGGTTTTTACACATGAATAGTATAAATACCTAAACGTGTATAGGTGAGGAGCCATCTCAGTCACTGTGGAAACGATGGAATGCTTAACAAATGGTATTAGACCAACTAGTTAAGTATCAAAAAAGGGTTAGATAGCTAATTTCATATTATGAACTAAAACATTTGAATTAAATATTTTTAACTAAAAATGAACACATTTCAAAATATTGTTATTATAATCTGGAGCCTTGCTAACCTTGACCCCAAGGAAACCATCAAGCATAAATCTATGATTACATAAAAAGAAAATTTTTGCATGTTGAGGTGATGTCATTAAAT